GTGTGTTCGGGCGGGTAGCAGCTGCCGGACTGGCAAGTAGTTACACGCGTGTACGAAAGAAGAAGAAGAAGAAGGAGAAGGAGAAGAAGAAGAAGAAGAAGAAGAAGAAGAGGAAGAAGAAGAATTGATGATGATGACATCTACGAAGAGCAAGGAAACACGAAACGACGATGACCGCCGTTGGATATAAGCGTTAAAAGGAGAGATTATAACTGCTATCGCCAAGTCTTTCCAATCAACTCAAATAATAATGATGAAGTAGAGGTATAAATGCCACTGTTAAAGGCTCGAACCCATAGCCAGACTGATTCCGAGTTTAGATAGGTCGGCACTCCTCTTATCCTTTTGATACACCAGCTCGTTCGTAAGATTCATCGCGATATGATAATAATAATAATAATAATAATAATAATAATAATAATAATAATAATAATAATAATAACAATAATGATGATAATGATGATTATGATAATGATAATAACATATCTAGATCATTTTCTTTACCGATTCGTCTTCATCGTTAATTATTAAGTCATTAATGAAAACATTAAATGCTTAGTATTAATCAACGATAATTAAAAGCGATATCGTGAAAAAGAGAGAAAAGAAGAAAGAAGCAAATAAAAAAAAAAAAAGAAAAAAAAACAGAGAAACAAGAAAGATACTAATCATCGTTAATCGAAGACGTTCGATTGGTTATCGTCGGCTATAGATGTTGAAAAATCGATCGATGAGAAATACAAAAAAAAAAAAATACAAAAAAAAGAAAAAAACAACAACAACAAAGAGAAGAAAAAAAGGAAAGTAAAGAAAGAAAGAAAGAATGAAAAATATATTTTAATGTATCGAACGATTCTAACTAACTCGTTTTTTCGGACAGATGTTCGAGTGCCGTGTATATGGCCTTCTATGCAGGCTGTGCGTGCGTTGCTATCTTCGAACGGAAATGACGAGCCATAATAAACGTAGAACGGACAGACGGATGGACGGACAGACAATTTTACCAATGACGACGACGACGACGACGATGATGATGATGATGATGATGATGATGATGATGATGATGATGATGATGAAGATGATGATGATGATGATGGTTTTACGGAGATGATATGCGCCGATAGGTATCTATCTATATCACTCTATACTATCTCTTGCCCTCTTACATCGTATGAGTCTCACAAAATTGTTTTAAAAAACGAATGATAGGTCTCTCTTTCACTCTCTCTCTCTCTCTCTCTCTCTCTCTCCTTCTCTCTCTTCGCATGAAAACGCAAACGTCGCCCTAATGACGCCAACTGTCACTACCGCGATGAAGGTCGTCCCTTAGCTCACGTGCTCACCGATGCGTCTTAATTGCACACCGCAACTCGCTCGTTATTAATGCCTAAAGTAGCAATTATGTATGTATGCATGCTCGCAGGAAATCGTAGAGAGAGGGGGAAGATTTGTGGGTGAATGGGTGGGTGGGTTGGGGGAGTGAGGAACTCGCGTAAAGAACTAAGTGTTAATTCGTAACTCGATAATCTTTAAACGATCGCTCGTCGTTAATCGTCTTAAATATAAGGATATTGAAAATTCTATAATAAGTTACAGCGTGAGTAATAAGAGGAAAGAAAAAAGATAAATAAAAAAAAAAAAAGAAAAAAAAAGAAAAAAAAAGAAAAAGAATTAGCGAGAAGAATAAAGGAAAATTATGTTACGTTATTGAAATTCATTTTATTTCTATCAATATCAATTGCATCGCGAACGATTGATATTCAATTGTATAACAATGTGAATAATAATAAAATTCCAATATCTCGTTCACAATTAATTATTATCAATAAGTAAAAGATAAAGCCAAAGGAATGCCTTGTGCATTATGGCATACGCATATACGTGACTAAAAATCCTACCAACACCAATGAAGAAGTAAACGTAAAATCCTTCTGGAAGTCTTGGCAGAATGGTTACGGTTTCTCAAGAAGCTTCGCCTTTTCGCCTCGAAGATATTAGATTTATCCATTTGTTTGCCGAAAGTCTCATAAATATAAGCTCCCTTTGACGGGATCCCACGGGTCTTATCCGCCGCGGTGATCTCGCGTGCGCTTCGTCTATGGAAGAGGAAACGAGGGATAGAGAGAGAGAAAGAGATACTGGGAAAGAGAGAGAAAGAGAGAGAGAGAGAGAGAGAGAGAGAGAGAGGATAAGAGAAGGGTGGGGGAGGTAGGTTGAAGAGGGGGTTACGTTTCTCCTCCTATCTGTTGGATAAACGAAGATAGTAGAGAAAACGACGATGGAAAAGGAGACGATGATGGAAGAAGAGAAAGAGGAGGAGGGGTAGTGGTGGTAGAGGAGAAGGATGAAGTAAAGAACGGGGGAAATAGGGGGCAGGGATAGTAACCGGGAAAAGGATCGATCCTCGCGCTGCTCTGCCATCAGTATTCCCAATTAACGAGATCCTTTCATCAACCGAGCGAATATACGAAGGGGGAAACGACGCTGGGTTACGTTTATAAATATGATGATCGTAAAAGGAGGGCATTACCATCGATGAGACGGAGCAGATTTTCCAGACTTTCTTCTCTCTCATCTCTCTCTCTCTCTCTCTCTCTCTCTCTCTCTCTCTCTCTCTCTCTTTGTCGTTCGATGTGAGAGAGAGAGAGGAATGTATAGGGGGATGAAATTGATGGCGACGTCACGTCACAGGCCGGAGGATCTTACAGATCGCACGGAACATAATCTAGAAGGAATAATTGATGTTCGGCTCATTGGCGTAGCCCGATACTTTGATAATCAAGAATGACGAGTAAAAGTCGTGAATTTATCGTGATATTTCTATTAATATTTCGATATTCGATCTTTCGCGTTTACGAGTACTAAGATATTCTCTTTTTCATTTAATTCGATGGATTGACGATTGGAAATAAGGGAGAATAAATTGAGGTGAGATAAAATGTTGTTGTTCGTTCTTTCATTCGATATTCGACATAACGCAAGTATGAAATCTTCGAAAGGACGAAATTAAAGGATATTTTTTTATTTTCTCTTCCTTTTTTTTTTTTTTTTTGAATCTTTATTTACTTATAAATTTTTATATGAAACAAAAAGAAATATATATATATATATATATTCATAAGTCTTGTTTAAAGTATATACCTCGTATAGGTTTGGAAGGAGAACAGCTGAAGCTACGTTAATCTATATATACGTATATACTCTCTCTCTCTCTCTCTCTCTCTCTATATATATATATATATATATGTGTAGAGGAGAGAGAGAGAGAGATAGATGTTGCACCAGGGATCGACGTCGGCGACATAATAGGGGGCGTTGCGAGAGCTGATCAAAGACGATGGAGCTTTGAGGAGGAAAATTGGTAAAGAGGGACTCTCTCGTCGACGAGGCTACGAACGTGTGTTTGTGTGTGTGTGTGTGTGTGTGTGTGTGTTGGTATATCCAGGCCTCCTGCGTCGATCGTGTAAAGAAGAGGGAAGGAGGAACGGGGGACGAAGGAATAAGGAAGGAGGGAGAGATCGTTCGGTGATGCTGCAAGAACGAGAACGAGAGAGAGAGAGACAGAGAGTGAATGAGAGTGAGAGAGAACACGAGACAGCATCAAAACTAATACTCCGTTATATCAGGAGTTAGAGGTGTTAGCGAATTATGTCGTTTACCGGATAAAGCCGTGCCAGAAAGGAGAAAGATTTCGCATCGAAGCTCTCTCAGCCTTTTCGAAGAAAATCGAGTATGTCTATCGTCCCTTCAACCTTCTTCTTCTTCTCCATCTTCTCTTCTTCTTCTTCTTCTTCTTCTATATCCTCCTTCTTATCCCCTAACGATAAAATTTTATCAAATTCTATCGTCGATAATAACTTTAACAATTGGATTTCCGTTTTAAACTAACGTGAAATCAATTATCCATCCCTTCGTCAATACAATTAATTAATTATATACGTACAAATTTATACGTATTTTAATCAATAATAATTATTATTTAATCGTTACTCTTATTTTTCGAACGAATAAATATAAATTGTCAAGAAGAAATAAGAAAAAAGATTCTTTTTAATAGACGTATACCAAAATGGATAAAGAATAAGAGAGAAAGAGAGAGAGGAGAGAGAGAGAGAGAGAGAGAGAGAGAAAGAGAGAAAGAGATATAGGAGAGATATAGAGTTAGGAGAAAGAGAGAGGTGAATGTCGTTGCAAATCATCAGCTACGTTACTAGCAAACGGTAATCAGTGTTCATTAGAAGTAGGAAAGCGTGTGCATGGTTGGTAGCGCGAGCTTTTCCCGTCTACGGGCTTGCCTTTCTCTCCCATTGGGAGATCTTTTCAATAACTCTTGGTCGGGTGGTAATTGGTGGTGGGCGATATCTTCTCTCTATCTCTCTCTCTCTCTCTCTCTTTTCTCTTTACTTCTCAGCTTTCTCCTACTATGGCCCTCGGGTCCTCCACAATGTCGTATATAACAATATCCCGGTCCTGTCCCATCCTGACCGCTATAGATAGAGAAACATTAAGTGCTCCGGACACACGGAAAACGCGTCACCCTTCCATCCTTCCTCTTTCCTTTCACCCTCCCCCCTTTCCCCTGACCCTTTTACCCTTCTTCCTCCCACCCTTCGCTCCTTGCCCTATCTCATTCGTTTTTCTTTCTTCTTTTGTCCTTTCTTATATCTTTCTTTCTTTATTTATTTTTCCTTTTCTTTTTCTTCTTTCCTTTCTATCCTTCTTCATCCATAGTATATATATATATATATAGAGAGAGAGAGAGAGAGAGAGACAGTACTAACATACGCTCTGAGTTCACATTATTAGAAAAGAACAAGCAATGGTGGGATAAGGAGGCGGCGAGGGTGGGTGGGGGATAGGTTTTCATGTAGGTAAGTACCTATATGGTTTTCATGTAAGACGAATAAGAACGACGATGTGTCATCAATGAATGTAGAAAAATAGAAAAAGAAAGATTGGCCTGTTTCTCTCTATCTTTCTCTATTTCTTTCTTTCTCGCT